TCTTTCCCCTGATCTTATTTAAAGTGACAGTTATTTATCCTCATTTCTGCAAAAGCAATATTTTTGGGTTCCCATTAGAAAGAGATAATGGTGGAGAGAAGAAATATTTTCAGAGAGGGGCAGTCAGCTCTGCAGTCAGCTCCAGGCTGCCACGCTGGGTGTTACAGTGATATACAGCAGGGAGGAGGACAGATCAAGTGCCCTTACAGTGACACTGAGGGACCATGCTGGTCCCTAGGACACACCGTAGCTAATGGCTACTGCCACTAGCAGCAGCCTGTACCTGCCCACCCTCAGGGACTGAGGGTATGTGTGGAGCACCGTCGTTCTGCTGGTGACATCCCCACAAACACTTAGGACAGGCTGAACACCCCTCTGGCTCCACAAAAACTGTATCAGATCATGTTTGATGTAAACTGGAGTGACGCAGTGGTGACAGATCTACAGCTACGTAAAGATAAAGAGAAATCACTGCCGTACAGGGAACTGGACCACGGAGATGCAGGTTCAGGTCTTAACTCAGCTGCAGCTTCTTGTGTAATTCTGAAGTTTCCTTACTTTCTGTTTGTTCGCTTGTAACTGGAAACACATGGTTTTGGGAAGTCAATTTATACTGAGTTGGGACAGAAGAAAGAGATGGGCAACAGTGCAGGAGTGCCCCTCAGATGCATATAACCTTGTACCAGGGTCAGTGCAACCACAGAAAACTTGTATGAGAGCACGCAGCAGTTATGAATCTGCCCATCTTTGGCAATAATTACTTTAAAAACAGTGATCGCTCTTCTGATAATAATTACTTTAAAAACAGTGATCGCTCTGCTTGCATTTCGTCAAATTAATAAAAGCTTTATATATTTATTTTTTTTTTATTTGCTGATTCACACTTAGCAAAGATAATTAGTGAGCATCTCTATTAGCAATACGGAACCCCTCCTGTGTAAGCCCCTTTCATGTGACTCGTCCCATTAGCCTTTTTTCATGGCTTTTATTTGCTACTAAAGGAATAGCACATGTGAAGTGATGTTTGGGATTTAGAGTATTATAACAGCTGCTTGCTATGTGATGACTTCTTAAAACTAATTCTGAGAAAATCAGAGTGCGTGAAACCAAATCGTAAAGATTCTGACTACAGACATACTAATCCTCTACAAAGGCAGAGCTACTGATAGATTAACTCATTAGACTACATGCATGCAGTTCAGAAAAAGAAGCTGTGGTCACATCCCTGGGCAGGCTTTCATATGATGATTTAAAAAATCTGCCTCAACTAGACTAGAACTGCCATGGCAGGCTGGAAATGCTCTCCTCAGAGTCAGCCTTGTTACTTAAAATACAGCTATGCAGTCAAACTGCAGAAGTAAAGATAACTACAATTGTAAAGTTAAGAGCTCAAAAGTTAGGAAATGCCAGACTAAGTTGCCTTTTCTGAATCATCGCTCTTCCCCTCCTTTCTTGTCTTACGGCCAGTGCACACAATGCAAAACTATTCACTGTTTTGTAGTTGCCTCATTTTTTACCACATGACCTCAGGCCTTCATTGAAAAATGTCCAATACAAAGAAAAAAAAATAGCACCCTGGTGGATTATTCTATGACACTCAACATTTACTTGAAATACATCACAAATAACAATTTTTAGAATACCTGTAAAGTGAAACATTTATATAGATCACATTTCCTTTTTGGAGATTGAAGGAATTAAGACCGAAAGTGCCTATGAAATACAAATGCTGTGTGTGAGCCACTTCAGAGTGAGTTTTAAACTTCCTTTTATACCATGCTTCATATATTTGAGACTGTGCTTCCACAGTGTCCAGTTACAGCTGTTTGTTCTCAGCACACCTGCAAACTAACCGGGAACACCTAAAACTAAGTATCAGTAGAAGACACTTTGAATGATTTCACAACTGTAACATCAGAACTTTAGGACACTAAGGAGGGACACAATTAAATTTTAAGTGCAAAGCTGAACTGTCAAATATGGGATTTTTTTCATTTAGTATGTGCGTTCTACTCATTGATTAGAGAAGTCAGGAGCACTCCAGATGAAATCCCCCTCTAGTATGCTGTGCAATCTGGGCCTTAGCTTTGGGGTAAATGAGGCATGGACAGAAAATGTACAAAACAGGGCATGATAATAATTGTTTTATAATGCAGTCATAAAAATTCAAATTATGTTGTATAGACAGCCTTGACTTTGTTACTTTTGACTTTTCAAACACAGTAACATTTTAACTGTCTGATGTGTTTGTGATATTTTACTCTAAATTGAAAAACAGACCCCCAAACTAGAAAGAAAATCCAGTATATGACATCCTAATTGCATTTATGAGTGATTAGCAGAGCTGCAACTGTTAGCTTTGGCATATATATCTGATTCTTAATTAAAACCATAAATGGCAAATAGCAATCTAGTTTCATTACAAGGTGGGCCTGGAGCAGAAGAGTATGGGGCACTGTGACAAAAGGCTTCACAAATATTTCCTGACAATAAAGAAGATCAAGCTTGCAGCTCTGTGGGGAAGCCTGCTCCCTTGTGAGCACATGCACTTGCCTGTTCTCTCCAAACCTATGTTTCTTAGGGACAGCTGTTGTCCTGTCCATAACTCCATCGCTGTTTCCTTTCTCGAAGGTCATTCTCATCACCCTGTTGTTCCCTCTCTCTGCACCTAACTCCTGATCCCTTGAACAAACCATCCAACCAAGCAAATTCAGCTTTCAACTTTCTGACTGGACCTCCTGCTTCAACAAATCTCAGTTCCTCCCCTGCTGGTCCCCCACACAGTCCATCGCTATTGCTCCCCTTCTCCATCACTGTTTTTCATTTGCCCACGTTCCTTATTCTCCTTCCCGTTTATCTACATTCCTATTTGTGTCTCATCTTTTTGTGATACTCCCCAGAAACTGGCTTTTGTACTAGTTTTCTTCACATACCCAGACTTCTCTCCATCTACTGTCTTCATCTTTCCCTAACATTTTTTCTTAGTTTCCATCTCTTCAGCCAGTTTCTGACAGTTTCCCATCCAAGCTAGCCCCTCCCTGCCCCCAATCTCCTCTATTGCCATCTACCCAGTTTCATTTTTCTATCGAATCACATTTTGAAGGCAATCCTTATCATGCTAGTCATTTAATCTGTTTCTCCTCACCCCCAAATGAAGAAAAAAACAGGGCAAATTATAAGGGCTCACACTGTTTCATCATGTTTTCCCAATTTTGTTCAGACCAAGCAACATCTTAACAGATGGCTTTAAACTAAACGGGGGTAGGTTTAGACTAGATACAAGGAAGAAATTTTTTACGCTGAGGGTGGTGGAACACTGGCACAGGTTGCCCAGAGAGGTGGTGGATGCCCCATCCCTGGAAACCTTCAAGGTCAGGTTGGACGGGGCTCTGAGCAACCTGATCTAGTTGAAGATGTCCCTGCCCATGGCAGGGGGATTGGACTAGATGACCTTTAGAGGTCCCTTCCAACCTAAACTATTCTATGATTTTATGATTCTATGAGATGTTAATCACACAGATTGTGTTCAGATCAAGCAACATCTTAACGAAAGTGTTAGTGACATTGTTGGCTATGATTTTGATTCTATGAGATGTTAATCACACAGATTGTGTTCAGATCAAGCAACATCTTAACGAAAGTGTTAGTGACATTGTTGGCCCAGAAATTTTGTGCACATGAAAAGTGAAAAATTTTCTACTGTCCCAGGATTGTCAGCTGCGAATTTTACTGCAAATCTTGTTTTAAAATAATGCAAAATGTTCTGACAAATTAAAATTCTGCATTCAATTTGCAATGCCTTCCTTTCATCACCTGATGACCACATTTCAGGTGATGACTCATCATTGCTAGAGATGCTTTGCAGAAGGTGGCTGTCACATTCCATTAGCCTTTCCAGATGAAGGGGAGATCATCCCCTTTGGTTTCGAGAAAGCTGAATTTGGGCAGCCACCTCGAAAGACATGACTCAGTCAGAGGGTACTGGGCAGCAGGGGACTGAAAAAGACAAAAATGGCTCAACTGAGCAGAGGGAAGGAGATGTAGAGGAATACTAGAGAAAATTGAAAAGCCAAGGTAGTGTCAGGAGCTGCAGTAGGAGTGAAGTGAAAACGGGTATATATTGTGGCAGATGGGAACAGAGTATCAGATAGGAGACTGAGGAAAAGGAAAGGAAAATAGGGAATTAACCTGCTTTTTCAATATCTAGCGCTACAACTGATAACAGACCTGTTAACCTGTTGGAAAACTTTGTCTCAGTGTACGTGACTCATGAGCACAAGTATTTGTAGACATCTGTTCTACAAATACGTTGAGTGGCATGTCCCTCATTCACTTTTGCCGTTGTTTAGCCTTGATTCACTTCCCCAACGGCTGGTTCTAGCAGAGGATCTATCCACTCCCTGCACAATTCTCCAAACAGAATGGCTGCTAAATGACCAGTGAGCCAACCTTTGAGGAAAGACTTCAGCTTTCTTGCTACAGCTGCCATTCTCTGCATCATTTTTAAAAAGTTCACCTAACTATTTCTGTCTGTGTATCCATTTGAAAATTTTAGTCTTAAGGAATACCAGCTACCTGGCCAAGTGGTTACAAAGAGACATCAGAATTACTCACAGCCCCACACTATGTTTCATTTTATTACCTTTGCTTACTGAAAAAGTGCTTTTTGAAAGTTACTTTTGTACTGGTGATGCTGAAGTCTTGTGACATGTCCTTATAGTATAGTACAGCAATACTGCAATTACAAAATATTTTCCTTAAAATATATTCCACGTTCAGATTTTTCCCCAACAAACTAGCAGTGAGATTCTCTCCATTACAAACAAAACCAAAAATTAACTTGCAAGGCAAGGAGGCAATTTGCCTCCTCGCAACTACGTTGTCTTCTGCCAATATCAGAAAATAATCAAGACAAACACTGTAAGATATGCATTCAGTTTTAAAGCATGAAATGTTACAAATACATCTGGGTTCTAGAAAACGCACTTCTAGCAGCTTACTTTCACTGGCTGAATAGTCCTGTGGATCGAGTATCCCTGATTCCTGCAGTGATCTAATACAGGAGTCCACCAGCTCCAGACCAGTGGTGAGCTCATCTTCTATATCCTTCTGACCATCTGTAATAAAATTAACAACATAAAAATGTAAAAAGAAAGACAAAAGGTAAAACCAGTTACCAGACAAAGGTAAAACCTTTTATGACTAAGCATTCACAGCTGATGAAGGAATGGAGAAGGCACCAAGATCACATATTCAGAGGAGGCTGGCCATATTGAAAATTATGCCATCCTTTGAAAGTGTGGCCTTGGATTAATAAAAGCAAAATGAGAAAGTTCAGGTCTAATTTTAAAAATTAAGTTAGAGACATGGTTAGCAATGCCCCCCTCTCAAAACTCTGCATTAATCTTGGTGTTCTTTTTGTCAAGCCTAACAACTTTCACCAAATTTTGCCAGTTTTTAAGTAGGGTTTTAACACACTAACAATGAAAAAAAAAATTGCATAAATAAATGTTGTTTTCCCCTCTATCTTCTTTAGGAAATATGATAATTCTGGGAGAGAATATATGTAATACATATATGTAGATAAGTACATTACCTTGTGTTTGCCAGTGAAACTGCTCTTCTGTTGAACTGAAAAGAAAAAGAATAGTGTTTTTATTAAATTATTCAGTAGTGTGTCATCAATATTCAGATCTAAATCTGTTTTGAAAGAACTGACTTAAGAATAAAGGAACTGACTTAAGAATAAATAGCATACTTAAAATATATCAAGTATTATTTTACATATTTTTTAATGAATGACTTGCACAGCATTCATTCAGCAGGAGGGAAGCATCTTCCACTTCTAATTAAGTAATTAAAAACATACATATAGAAACTGCCCTCTTAAGTCTTGATAGAGAAATTACACTATTTCAAAGCAAAAACATTAACATTTTGCAACTTTTTTGGATCCTTCTATTTGTTTGATTTTCCATTTTTATAGAGAAAGTTATAAATTGCTTTCTCAAGTGAACAGTTACATGTGATTTCTAAAAGAAATTACAAGTATGATTCCGGGTTCTACTGATCATTATGTGCATTTTTATATTATTCAAATGTACAGCTAAGTTAATTCAATTGGCCTACACAAGAAAGTAAACTTAGATGTGTTTGTGCTTCTGTGTACAAGCCCTTAAGCAATGGAAGGTCTTAATTTTAAAATAATGAGCATGCACACTAGAGGATGGGTTAGATAGATAGGGTTTTTTCTATAAAATGAATGATATATTCAATTAATCAATGAGTACACTTTCCTTCAAGGCATGATCTGTTTATGCTTCAATATAGGTCTTTCTCACATGCCAAGAATACAAAAAGGATTGAAGTTATTCAGTAATAATCATTCTTTTGAGAACACTGAACTGGTTATTACAGTCATGATTAAAATATTTTTCTGTACATTTTTACAAGATATTTATAGGGGAGAACAAAATCATCTGTTCCATCCATCGGTAAAAAAAACAAAGACAGAAATTATTTTAACTTGTCAAACTATAAATTTCTTTCTGATGTTAAGAATAAATGCTCTTTTTAATGAGTAAATTGATTTTAAATCCTGAATGGTTTTCCCTTTTCCCAACAGACGCTGGATCTCTTATGAATATGTGAGTATAGCTCCTAGTATTTATGTTCTGAGCAAGAATAACGTAAATGAAATTAAATGCTTCTTTTCCGAGGTCTCTTTTTACAGGAAAAGAAATTGGGTTAATTATTTATCAATTTCAGTGTTAAAAAAAAGGATAATTGCCTAATTTACATATAAATTGTTCTAAAAGGACAACTTTTAATTTCTAGCTGGCATCAAAAGTGTTAACCTGACAAATTCAAATCTATACATCATCATCATCAATTTCCAAATATCTACCATCTGTGGTTTATATTGACTCACTGTAGTGAGATTTCATAGATTAAGAAGCTAGCCCTTCGATGAGACACTCAACTAAAATGCTTGCATTCAAGTCCACTGAAGTTAATAATATTGAGGATAAACATAGCCAGAGTACTCTGGCAAATAATAATGGCGAAGTGCTGAACTGGAAGAGATTACTTTAATTTAAATTACCTTTTCAAATGGAGCCCAAGTGGGTGGTGACTAGGAACAGTGGCTCTTTTTGAAATATTACTTTTTCCAATTTGAAATTCCCCTTGCCTGATTTTCAAAATCACTAAACAACTGCAGCTTCAGCTGACACAGTGGGATTTTAGAGCAATCTTCCTTTCTGGAATTCGCATCATCCATAATAAGCAATATATTACTTTCCACTATACAGTCCCTCTTCCAGTATCCAGATTTCTATGTGATAGATACCACCTCAAAAGACAGAAAAAATTAAAATATCTCAGGTGGCATTCTCGCTGGCAGAATGAATTACTAAATGTTGCTGGCAAGGACACACTGATGTAAAAGACTGTGCCACCTCATCCAAATCAGTGAGAAAAGAAAATCAAGTCTGTGCATAAAGAGTGAATTATTATTTCCAGGAATTCCAGCTTAGCCCTTTTTAAGCAGTAAATTTGTATAGAATGTAGAAGTTCATTATCAGCATAGTACAGATAGTATTAAATGAATCACTAGTGGCTGATTAGTAGTGATCCCTAATATCACTAGTCTGACTTCCACAGAAACATTTTAATGTATTCACCTTAAGAAATCTTAGATGGGAAGGTCTAAAAAAGGACTGCAATAAATTTTGACTATATTTTGGCTTTTCCAGTTTTAGTCAGGCTTCTCCTCACAACTACTGTAATGGTCTTTTAATAAATACTGTAACTTTTATAGTCAATGTAGCAGATTCACCACAAAAATTTTTATCCCAATGCTACCTTCTTACTCAACATATGGAATATGGAACAGGCTGCCCAGGGAAATGGTTGAGTCACTACCCCTGGAGGTATTTAAAGACGTGTAGATGTGGTGCTTAGGGACATGGTTTGGTGGTGGACTTGGCAGTGTTAGGTTTGCGGTTGGACTCGATGATATTAAAGGTCCTTTCCAACCTAAATGATTCTGTGATTCTTTGATTCTGTATTAAAAGTGTATTTGCTCCTACAAGGTTATCAATATATTCTGGTATGAAGAAAGTGCTGTTTTCCCTAGTTAAATTCATGCTCTTTAGCTTTTGAACAGTCCAATATAGTTGCACATTACAGTTGCCATTTCTTGGTTACAAACCGATGCCTCAGTCCTGCAGACAAACATGTTCAGGGTTTCCCTAGAAAACTCTTATTAGAATTTGACATAGTTTAAATTAAGATACCCTGCTTTTTTTTTTTTTTTTTTTACACCTTTTTTTTTTAAATCTTAACTTTTTTTGCTAAAATGAGTTTTTCCTGCCTTTGGCCTGAAAAGGATTCCTGACTGAAGCAATCTGACATGTCTGTGCAGGGAGCCTTTAGGCTGTCACACAACTGTGCCAAATCTGCTTGAGTGAATAAAAGTGCCTTTTTTTTTGTGCTTTTCTTTTAGGTGTTTTCCAGCTTCAGAAGAGATCAGTACAATTGACTGTATACTCACATCAAATACATGAAAAGACAAAAAAAAAAATTAACAGAAGTATTCCCCCTAATAAAATTTTCAGCATGTTCAGCAAAATAAAGCTTTCTGCTTTATAGTTTTTCTAAAGGAAAGGTTTTAAATTCATTATCAACCACTTTTCTGCATATTCCTATGCCTCATTATATAAGTTTGCAAACTCTACCAACTTCGACTGAGGAAGCCGAGCAATAAAATACTTTATTGAGAAGCTCTGAACTATGGAAACCTGCACCAAACTTAAGAGTTTGAGGAGGGAGATTTTAACCAGAATTACATTAGTATAGTATTAGAAAATAGTAGCATAAAATGTTAGTGAGCTGAGAACTCAGGCAGGTATAATTATTACCTCCCTTAACCCAAAACCAGAAGAATAATTATGATTTATTTGTTGTATTCTTTTCTCATTATTGGTAGTCACTGCATCCTGTATGTACTTCAAATGTTCTAGTAAAAATAAGAGGACCATTCTACTGAATTCTATTCGAGTGATATAAAGAATCCTGTGTCACCATTCAACTATACAAAACTTTGATTCTTCTATACTTATATTGTCTTTGGAAAATAGGGTTTATTGAAGGAAAATCTCAGGGAAGCAGAATAACTTAAGAATGAGAAGATAATGCTAAAAAACAAACAAACAAACAAACAAACAAACAAAAAACCCAACCAACCAAACAAAAAAAGAATATTGTCATATGTTTAGTTCCGGATGTTCATCTTGAAGCTAATGAACCTATCTTCTGTAAGGATGCACTACACTGTGCCTACAACTTTACCTTTAATAACCACCTATGCAAGGAAATATTCCAGTAAAAGTTGTTTTACCTCCCTAGGCAAGAATGAGCTAAGTAAATATCCACAGGGTGGTCATCTTGATTCCAGCTGAACTCACATGGTCCCATTTCTGCACGTATGTAATAAAAGCACCGAAGTAGCGAGAAACCTTCTATGTGTGACCTTGCATGCTAGGAGGATGGAAGGCAAATGAGCATAGCACACTGCAGGGCGCTCGTTTTGGGGAACATCACATGAATAGAGCACTCGGGGAGCTCTACTGGTCTCTGCACAGCATGGAAAGATCAGAAGCACAAAGCACTGCAAAAATGCAGAGTTTCTATGGTCAGCAAAGGATGTCTGACTATTACCAGCACTCTTTTTACATCAAGTTCATCCCTTTTCAGGCATGGATAGAAAAATCCCAGTCTGAGTTACAGTATGTCTATAAAAAAGCAACAAATCGGGCCTTTGGGAGCCTTCATTATTTTTTCCTGTATCTCAAGTAAAGCGAAACAGGAAGTGGGTGTCCTCTTCAAGACGGACTTGATAGGAACTCAGCATGACAAGATGGGCTCTGTGGAGACAACGGTACTGTCCCACAACAGCCAGCACCAGCAGAACAAGGTGAGCTACGTATGACCATCAAACACCTCTTCCCACAATTTACGGGAGTCAAAAGCAGTTTTGGTGGTGTACAAGGGAATGCTCAAAGTGACACCAAAATACTGCTTTCCTGGACCATGCTCATGAGCCATGTTTCTATAAAAGTAACCAGAACCCTCATGGGAGGTAACCCAGAGGTGGGGAAGGCTGTTGAGCGCTTTGGCAGAAGAAACACTGCCTGAGATATCCTCAGACAGTGTTGCCACAGGGCATGTACAAACACCCAAGGATTCGCTTTCAAAGCTGGTGATGGGGAGCAGCAAGGGCACCTTGGACTCAGCTGAACTCCTAGAAGTCGGGAGTGTGCCCATGGCCCTGGAAGCAGAGACAACAGTGGGGCAAAGGCAACTCACATCACACCCACAGCCCAACACACACATTTTGCATGCTACCTGGTCACAGCGGTAGCTGCAGAAGCGCTTGGGTTTAGTTTTAGACATTACATGGCCTAATGTGAGACCTGACTCCCTTCAGATGAATACCTCCATAGTTTCTGAACCATCCAGTGCAAGAAGGAGGTTCACTGCACTGTACACACTTCTCCTAGCATAGTATTTATTATGCAGGCTGCGGAAATTAATTTTTGTTATCCTGTGCACCAATATACATCAGT